CAAGTGTCCTGCTGATGGACGCGCTGACTGCGAGGCTAAGCTTCAGGCTTTTGTTGATACTGGTCAGTTACGCCGTATTCCCGACTCGGAGGCTTCCAAGTACACTACCAACTTCTATGGTGTCCACGGTCGTAAACGCTGGCGACCTGTCTTGCCGCTTATTGCTACTAATGCCTACCTCCGTGCCCTCATGAAGGCAGATCCTATCCCCAACCAGCAGCACAAGCTCCGTACCTGTCTCTCTCGTTTACGGTTGGCTACCACCGTGACCATCCACGTATCTCCGACGCCTTTATGAGATTTAGGGTGTCTCCCGCTCTGGGGAGTTTCTTCCAGGTGTACTGGAGGAAGCGCTGGTTTCAGTTTACCCGAATGATCTACGGAAGTAGCATTGCTCCGTCGTGCCTCGAAGGTGGCATGAGCCACGTCGAGCACGGCTTGGTCCCTACACCCGACACTTTCCCACCTCCTCTTGTTCTCACCGACGATGGCAACATCGACCTTGTTCTTGACCAGCTTCTTGACGTCGCGGAGCCTGAGCCCGATCAGTGCTCTTCCATGGACGACATTCTCGACTTCCGTGCCGATACCACCTCTGCCGACATTCTACCCAACAAGTACGACGAGTATGACTTACCTCTTAAGTCTCAGGCTCTTACTGAGGCTTCCGCTGCGCATCCTATCCCAGTGCTTGGTATCGAGGTCATCGACAACGGGGAGTCTCTGCGCTACCCTTCTAAACCTGTCGATTCCATCCTCAACAAGTCCCTCGATTCACCGCTCACATACAGCGGATCCCTCGGTCTCCTCGGCACCCTCTTGCAAGAACCAGATTTCTTCGACTTCCACATCATCCCGGCCAAGAATCTTCTTGTGGGCCTTATTAGCAAGGCACGCGCGGTCCTTGATCATACATGGCGCACTCCTATACCTACTGATGTTCAGACACTTATCTGCGCTTGGGTTGACTACTTACGCGAACACCCACCGCAAGCTATCCCACGACGTATTCACACTGATCATGCTCTCGACATCTACGTCGATGCCTCCAAAACCATGGTGGCTTACGAAGTCCGTCAGTTTGACCGCCCTATTCTGCGGGGTCAACTCACTCTCACCAAGTCCCAGCGAAACCTACACATCAATGCCCTT